AAGTTGCTATATCAAATGCAACTATTATTATTAGTGGAGTCCTGTAGCTCAGTGGTTAGAGCATTGGCCTTGCAAGCGAGATACCTGGGTTCAATTCCAGGCAGTGGGCGAAACCTTGGGCAAGTTTTCTTACTCCACACGCCTAATAATAATCCCTCCAAAAAACAATAATAAATTGATCATTTTCTATTCACGACTGTTTGTGGGACACTGCTGTGGGCAATTGGCTGCCGTGTTTAGCCCACAAATATACGGTCAATTCACTTTACAGTCTATTCTGTGAAGTGCTTTGAGACGTCGATAAGATGTGAAAAGCGCTATATCAAATGCAAGGATTATTATTATTAATATCGTGAAGTCATGTGGCATAGTGATTTGAGCACTCTGAGTGAATCATTGTATGTACAAATGAGACCGTGTTTAATTGTTTTCTGTTTTTAGCCAAAAACTGAAAATTGGTAAACCTTTAAAGAACACAAACCCATTTTTGCCAATTAAAAGAGAAAGATTGTTTTCAAAATGTTCTCGGTGTTAGAGAATTTGAATCAGGGTTTTTGGTATCTGAAACTTGTCTTAGATTATTACACTTGTCTTTGGAGTCCTGTAGCTCAGTGGTTAGAGCACTCGCTTTGCAAGCGAGAGACCTGAGTTCAATTCCAGGCAGGTCAGGGCGAAACCTTGGGCAAGTTTCCTTACTCCACACAGAGCCTAATAATAATCCCTCCAAAAAAAAAAAAAACAATAATAAATTGGTCATTTTCAATCTACGACTGTTTGTGGGACATTGCTGTGCGCAATTGGCTGCCGCGTTCGCCCTCAAATATACAGTCAATTCACTTTACAGTATATTCTGTGAAGCGCTTTGGGACGTCCTCCCGACGTGAAAAGCGCTATATCAAATGCAAGGATTATTATTATTATTATTATTACACCTCGTTCCCCTCTGCTGACCATTGGCAGCCATGCTTTCAGCCACTACGCCGAGACTCTGGAACTCCGCCTCAGTCGCTCCACCTTCCTCTCTCTTTGCTCATCTGCAGATCACACCTGAAGATCTTCCTATTCGGTCTCATTTGTACGGTCACCTCTTCTCTCTCCCTGGCTTTACGTCCATGGACATATTAGATTCAAGCCTGTTAAGTCCACCAAGATGCTACACCATGTAAAGCGCGCTATATAAATGCAAGTTGTTGTTCTGCAAATACATAATAAAATAATAGCAATCCTTGCATTTGTTACAGGGCCTTTCACGAACAGGACAACTCCAAGCACTTTGTAGGATTTACTGTAGAGTGCAATGGCTGTGTATTTTCCAGGCACTTTTGCATTTATCTAATTAGCCAAAAAGGCTGTGGTTCAGTTTCAGGGTAATAAAGTCCTTTAATGCTGAGGAATCACAATTCTTATTCTTAGATTTACATGCTGATCTCAAATGTGTGTGTTTTTTAAAAATTGACATTTTAATGGTTAAAAAAAATCAAATTTATAACCAATCATTTTGTCCTTTTTACTGTAAGCTATTTTTGCTGAATCCTAATATTTTAATAACTAAGGCGGTTTGATTCTTGTTTGCTGGGTTACAGCTCCAGTATGTAGGAAAACGGACTGTTTCCCATCTGTGATTTTGCAGTAATGAGCTCCAACTCCCTGCCAAAACATGTGATCTGCGACTTAAAACAAAAACTTTTATATTTACACCTGCAAAGTTTGTTTTCCATGTTACTGCGATCGAAATGGATTTAATACATCGTGCGATGTTGATTATTTGTGTATTTTATTGATGTCTTTTGGGGATGTGCTACTTGCAGGATACAAGTGCACGCTAAATGAAAACAAACTAGTCATAACATTCTGGTATAGCGGTCATCCTGAGGTGCTTTTGGCTGCGTATATTTAGAACCTCGGCAAAACAAATTGCAACCGGGATTAAAACAAATCAAAAATCTGCAGACAGTTAGGCCGCAAGTCTTTAGGAGACGTGTGTGTGTCACTCAGAAATAACAAGTCTCTTGGTCGTGCGCCAGTGGATTCTGAATCACTTCAGTCCTCTTACGCGATGGGCTGATTACGCTGAAGTCATCCTTGCAGGAATTTTAGTATTTGTAATTCAAGTCTTCTATGCAACTCTCTTTTTTTATAAAAAATGAACTTAGGCTGCACTCCATGTCTATTTGTGGGACATTGCTGTGCGCAACTGGCTGCCGCGTTTCACTCACAAAATATACAGTCAAAAAACACTCTACAGTATGTCCTGCAAAACACTTTGAGACATCTCAACGACATGATAAGGTGCTATATCGAATGCAAAGGATTATTATTATTTTGAGAATATTGCTTTGTTAGAATGGGTTGCTGAATAGTCAGCGTGTGTTTTACAGTAAAGCGGTAACTGAGTGAGGCAAAGAAAAGTTGCAACGTACTTTGCAATATAAGATCTGGAGGACATCCAGCAAACACACTATGTTAAACCTATAATAGAATCTTAGACTTTCTTCAGAGTAGGTTGTACAACTCGATGGCATGTGGTCTGCACATTGCTTTTCTGTTTATCATGTAGCGTGTTCTTGTTGCAGAATATAATGCTGGTACACGTTTTTAGGGATGAAACTTTTTTATTCCCATTAACCAAATGTATTCCTAAGTGTCTGAAAACATCGGTCCTTTTACAGGATGGCTCCGTGGTTGAATTTGGTAAATGCACTACCTACAAGACTGAATACCTGTCGATGGGGATGGTCTGTAGTTTGAGGTCTGTGTCCTGAGTTGGCTGGTCTTAGCCACAGTGGGGTCAGTGTTTAAAGAGCTAAAGAGAAGGAATAAAAAAAACATTTTTTCCACTGCTGATTATTATTATTACCCTATGTGAACGGTGCTATATGAATGTAAGTTGTTGTCCAGTGATATTTCCTGAAAATGGCTGAGACAGGGACGTCAGGCGAGGAGGGGAGAGGGGACTGTATGTGAGGGTGATGCTTCCTTGTTTCCTTGTTGACGGTCATGTGATGAATGCCTATTTAATTGATGGGACTCAGGCACAACAACTGCAACAACTTGCGTATATATAGCGCCCCTCACACAGGGCAGTGTGTCAGAGCGCTTGAAACTAGTACCCCTTCAAGAGACAGGAGAAAATTGGAGTCCAAAATTTGTACTGGATGTTTCTGTAAAGATTAAAACATAATTGCTATTGCTTGATCCTGTAGAATGAGTGTGGGAATGGTGCTGGTGGCAATAACCTTTCAGTCAAGTACAGTATGTTTATGGACAGTTGTGTGTTCCAGTGTCTCTCATTGCATACAGTGCCTCTTGGAATGGTTACATAACACTTTAAATAAGAATGATAAATCTAATTTAACTCGTGGAGGGAGACTTTCGCCCTCCCTTCCTCTTTCCCCTGGGAACTATATAGGGACAATGGTATAAATTTCTCTGTCCGCTAAGTGTCTAGGAATGCAACAACTGCAATTTTGGGACCCTCGATTATTCCTGTTTGCTGACATCATGAAAAACACATGACCTGTTTATAAACCGTTATAGGTAAAGTTGAGGAGGTGATGAAAAATATGTCAGGACCTGATGCAAAGCGTTTTTAATTAACATTTTTTTTTGCAGTTGTTTTAGCTCTGCTATAAATACTAACGTAGAATGCAATTTAAAAAAAAACTTTTTAAAGTACCTCGGGCAGCATGAACTTGATCTTGGGTGAGTGTTTGAAAAGTCAGACCACCGAAGGATTTTATCCTGGGGGGATGGGGGTGGGAGAGGAATCTGCATAGATATAGTTTTGCTGAGGTAGTCATTCTGTAGATGCCATTTCTTAGCCATGACTTCATAATGGTGTACACTGTATGCATGCTCGCTCTCTGTAACATCAAATAATCTCTTCAGCTGCTACCTTAATCCCAGACAGTATTTCCCGTGTCCTGCAGGGTTCAATAAAAACAAAAAAAGACCAGGTTCCTCATTAAACAGCAGTAGTCCTCTCTACCTGAGCCATGCCACGTAATGGCTCCTTCCAAGTCTGTTCAAATATTTATGCTGCTTCATCCCTGTTAGGTAAAGCTCCACAGCTTCCTTTAAGTCGCTAGGAATTCAGTCATTATATAGAAATGTATCATATTCGTAGCATAAAATTCCATGCTAATCTAAAATTAAACATTGCCTGCAATATTGTAGTTAAAGGAATGTAGATGATAATAATAATAATGTTAATAATCCTTGCATTTGATATAGCGCCTTATCACATTGTTGAGATGTCTCAAAGCACTTTGCAGAATATATTGTGAACTGAATTGACTGTGTATTTTGTGGCCAAAACGTGGCAGCCAATTGCGCACAGCAGAGTCCTACAAGCAATCATGGTAGAAGAATAACAATCCTCGTGTTTGATACAGTACCTTTCACACTGGGAGGATGTCTCAAAACGCTTTGCAGGATATATTGTAAAGTGTAGTTACTGTAAACTGTAGTGACTAATTTGGCAAATTATGATGTCACTTTTTTAAAAAAGGAGCCTTTCAAGTTTTGCAATGTTATTCATTTTTTAAAAGGTCAATAATTATTTAACACTTTGATTTGTCAGTTACAGTGTAGGACACGATGGGACTGAATCAAGCTGCTTCCCCAATGATCCCTTCAAAGTTCTCAGGCTGTCCAGTAGACCGACATATAATGCTCAACTGAGTATTTTTGATATAATACAATACAAATTTACATTTATATAGCGCCTTTCAGGTCGTTAGGACGTCCCAAGGTGCTTTAACAATCCTGACTTGGCTTGATGTATAGAGCTGGTTGTTTGATGGTCTCTTTAATGAGGTTATAAAACGAACACCAGATTTTGGAGTTGAAATAGCCCCGATGCAATCATTTGTAAACAAGACTTTGTGCTTCACATTTTCTCCTGCTTCTCTTTCAGCAGTACAAACACAGCACAAATCTTTCTTGGCTGCAAATGTTACACATTGTTCATGCTTTCCCATTTCAACTTTTTGTTCTAGGTTCATTCTGCAACCCAAAGCGATGATTCACAGCCAGCTTCAAGAAAAGCAGAAAATGGCAGACGAGAAGATCAAGGAGCTTGAGGTGGGCCACAATCCTGTGAGATTCAGCTGACGTGCTGAAATAAGTCTTTACAACCATGGCCATCTATCTGCCTGTTTCATCCTTAGTCCTTTTAAAACCCGAAACTGCCTTTCGCCTTGCTTCCTCCCTTTCCTTCCCTTACCCTGACTATTTCCCCCCTCCTCGCTCCTTCCCTTCCCTCACCCTGACCATTTCCCCCCTGCTCGGGTCCTGACCCAACTGTCCAGCGCTTTGGGATGTCCTCCCGACGTGAAAGGTGCTCTATAAATGGAATCTTCTTGTTTCGCCGAACGGATCGGTTTCAAGATCCTTACGCTCGTATTCAACATGGCCTGGCACCTTCCTACCTCTCCGACCTGCTTACTCCCCAATCCACTACCTGCTGCCTTTGCTTGACTGGCTCCAGCCTCCTGCTTGTCCCTTGTGAACCTCCGTTCCACCATCGGTGGACGAGCTTTCAGCCACTACGCCTCGAAACTCTAGAATACTCTTTCTCTCTCCCTCCATTTTGCCCCCTTCCTTCCCCATCTTCAGATTGCGCCTGAAGACCTTCCACTTTGACCGTGTCTACGGTCACCTCCTCCCGGCTTGGTGTAGTGCTCTGCCACAGTCAAGCGCTATGGGACGCTAACCTGCGTGAGGGGTGCTATATAAATGCAAGGTGTTGTTTTGGTGATTTTTGCAAGGCTAGGCGTTGGGACAATAGAAAAATGTGGAAATATGTGCCCAAAATTACAGGGATATTTCTATATTTTGCAGAAGATTGTGGGAGTTGTGTGGGGGAGGTTAAATTTTACAGAAAATGGCAGGGGGTTGATTGGAGCTATTGAGGTACATTTTATTGCCAACTCAGAAACCGAGAGACACACAGTGACAGAGAGAGACACACACTCACAAAGAGACACTCACAAAAATATAGAGAGACACACAGGCACACACCCACAAACACACAGAGGAGAGGGAGGCACAGACATAATAACGCAGACACTCAGAGAGGGAGAGAGACGCACACACACGGATACACACAAACACTCACAAATGTCATGTAGAGAGACATACACACAGACAATCATACACTCACAGACATGAACACACAGAGACACACAGACAATCACAAGAGCAGGGCCTGTGAGTGAAGCCCATTTGCCCCTTGAACCACACAGAGCATGAGTGTCCAGAGCCGCCCCACCCACAGTGACGTCAGGTAAACAGGCGGGAGGCCCGCGGGCCAGAAACTACATTTATGGCAGGGGTAGTTTGTAGTGAATTGCGTAGAAATAAAATGTGCATCCGCAATTTTCTATTGGTCCAGGCTATGGGGAAAGCAAAAAAAAAATCGCAAGACCTTGGGGAAAGGGTGTTCTTATGGCATTAAGTATATCGTCGAGTCCTGTAGCTCAGTGGTTAGAGCACTCACCTCGCAAGTGAAAGACCTGGGTTCGATTCCCAACAGGGCGAAACCTTGGGCAAGTTTCCTTCCTCCACACGCCTGATAACCCTTCAAAAAAAAAAAAAAAAAATTGGTCACTTCCATCCACGACTGTTTGTGGGACGCTGCTGTGCGCAATTGGCTGCTGCGTTTCGCCCACAAATATACAGTCAATTCACTTTACAGTCTATTCTGTGAAGCGCTTTGAGTCGTCTCAAAGAGGTGAAAAAGCGCTATATCAAATGCAAGGATTATTATTAGTTTCGAACATGACATGTACATACGACTGCCAGGACGGTGGAAGGCAAACTTGATGGACCTTGGTCTTCTTTTGTTTAACAATCCTTATGTTTTTATGTTCTTATGAGTGGGGGAGTGGGTTTCGTCGGTAGCTCTTTCAAAGAGCTGGCCCAGGCACGATGGGCCGAATGGCCTCCTTCTTTGTTGTAATATTCTATGATTCTATGTCATGCGATTCCCAGGATGGAGGAAGGCAAACTAGATAGACTTCTTTCGCCTAGCAAATTCTTATGTTCTTAACAGCATTTTTAAATGAAGCTAGCATTTGCATAATAATCTATAATTTCAACCCAAAAAAGCAGTCCTTTGTTAAAGCTAAGTGCTGATCTCTCGAGATGCTGAACATCTGCCATTTTATACAAATATATGTATGAATGATGCAATAGAACAGAGTTTAAAATGCAGTCATTGTAACAATCCAAAGTTATTCCAATTCCCTTAAGTAACAATTTAACCTTAATTAAATCGGTGAGGATGCTCCAAGACTGTTTTTCCCTTTCATTGTTCATGGCAGTGTTAGTCATGGTCTTTCTTGTGGTAACCTTGTGGAATTCTTGTTCGTTCACTTTTTCTCAAAAAAAAAAGTCCTGCCAATTTTCCTCCACAGTATAAATGTATTTGACTCATTTTCCTTCTAATGGAGTTGATGTTCTTATGGGATTAAGTATATAGTTGAGTCCTGTAGCTCAGTGGTTAGAGCACTTGGTTCCACAGACACTACTCTTGAGTGTGGCTCATTCTCACCCTCGCTTCTGAGTCAAACGTCTTGCCTGTTCAGGTCGATGTTAAAGATCCCTGGTACTATTTGAAAAGAGAAGGGACTTTCTCTGTCCCGGTGTCATAGATGTTTTGGGGATATTGATGTGCAATTGGGTTGGTGCGTTCGGCTACAAATATAGCCACTACATTTCACAGAAAAAACTCCTGTGAAGTGCTTTGGGACGTACTCTTGACGCGAAAGGTACTATATCGAATGCAAGGATTATTATTGGTTTTGTTTGTTCTTTTGCTGCTGTTATTGACCTCTGACCCAAGTTACCATTCTTAATGCGTGAGACTTAACGGTCAAAGTTGACCAGCAATTTGACCGAAACCGCTTCTCCTCCTACCTCAACCTTCAAGTGGTTCAGGTCCTACCTTTCACACTGCCTCCACTTTGTCGCGGCAAACGGCTTCTCCTCCTGCCCCCGCACTGTCTCGTGCGGTCTTCCTCAGGGCTCTGTCCTCGGTCCCCTCCTCTTCACCCTCTACATGCTTCCCCTTGGTGACATCATCCTGAGACATGGGGTAAATTTCCACATGTATGCGGATTACACCCAACTCTACCTCTCCTGTCTGACATCAAGTCCTGGACGAGGGCCAAGTTTCTCCAACTCAATGTCAGCAAGACCGAGGCCCTTCAGAGTGGCTCGCGCCAACGCCTCCGCACCTCAGGCGCTGGCAGCATCAGCCTCCACGACTGCACACTCAACCTCACTAAGCCAGTCAAGGTATCTTGTTTGACCCTGAACTGTCCTTTCTCCCCCACATCTGCGCCATGACTAGCACTGCCTACCACCACCTCCGCAATATTGCTAGACTCCGCCACTGCCTCACCTCTCAGGCTGCTGAAACTCTCACCCATGCATTCGTCACCCCAAGGCTTGATTGCGGGAACTCCCTCCTCATCGGCCTTCCCAACTCTTCCCTTCCCAAGCTGCAGATCATCCAAAACTCTGCAGCTCGTGTACTCTCACCCACCAGGCTTCGTGAACCCATCACTCCACACTCACCCAACTTCGCTGGCTCCCCATCCCTCAGAGGATCAAGTTCAAGGTCCTTGTCCTCACCTTTAAGGCTATCCATACCTTGCCCCCTCCTACCTCTCTGACCTGCTGACTCCCTACGAGCCTGCCCGTTCCCTCCGTTCATCGGGCTCCGGCCTGCTCCATGTCTCCCGTCCGACCTGCCCTACCATCGGTGGCCGGGCTTTCAGCCTCTCTGCCCCCACACTCTGGAACTCCATCCATGGTCCCTTCACCTCGCTTCCTCCCTTGCCTCCTTCAAGGTCGGTCTCAAGATCTTTCTCTTCGTCGGTGCCTTTGATCTCCCTCCCATCTCTCTGCCTTCCCTCACCCCTACACCACCCCACCCCTCCCCCATGCTCAGGCCCTGACTGTTCAGCGCTTTGGGACGTCCTCCCGACGTGAAAGGCGCTCTATAAATGTCATTTTGTTGTTGTTGTTGAGCTTATTCTTGCCCAATATCCACACAGTGGTCACCTTCCAGCAGAGGTCAGTGGGTAGTGGTCTGGAGCTAGAACCATGGCTGATTTTGAATGGCACTGAGATTAATTGTGGCTAAAATCAGCTAACTCAACACAGATTGGCTTTGAATCTGTAATCTCCTGGTCACCTGGGAACTGCTTTTAGCCACTTAATCGAGGTTAGCTAAAAGGACTACAATTGCCTTTGATGTGATTCCCAGTCCTCTCCACTTTTTCTTCCTTGTATCTTTTTAAACTTCCTCTTTGATCTTTGTGTTAGTTTTGGCTTTCATATTCAGCCATTTTGGTTATGGTTTTGTTACGCTCCCCTTTCTTCTCATAGGCAAGTATTTTCGCTTCCCTTAAAATGCTCTTAAAATAAATCTGTTCGCATGCTTTATTTTCCTGGACTGTTTCCCAAATCAGTCCTTTGTATTAGCTCTTTACAAACTTTCATGGATGGCAGACTAATTGGCATTTGCTTCAACTTGTTTGGAATCAAACCATAGGGAATCTGACATACAATTAAAATTCTATCATTTTTATTGCACAACCCAATTAACTTTACCTAATTCTTTGATTTTTCTTCATTGCGTTTAAGTTCTGTGGCGGATAATTTGCTTTTGGCTTATCGGATATAAATCGTCATAACATGTACATTATGCCACTTTGTGTGTAGATGGCATATATATGTGGAACTCTCACTGGTTCAGATACTCAAGCACAGTGACTGTTTCTGCATATGTCAAGATACCCAGCTGATCAAAATAAATTGAGTTGTGATTTCTTTTGTGTGTGAAAAACATTTACATTTCCATAGCTGTGAACGTGCTTATCATTTATGTTCAAAGAGCACATTGTGTCGATGTTGTTTGTATACGTTCAAGAAAGCAAATCTGTAAATCTATTCCGAACCTTTTTTTTGCGGTAGTGAGTACCATTGGCTCAGCAGGTTTCATCCTTCCATAAACATCCTTGCCTGAAAATATGATCTCCACTTCTGTTCCCAACACATCTGGATCTGGT